CAACCAACCAACCAACTAACAAAAACCAAAGCCTGCCATTCTTGATGTCATCCTGCAAGGAGCTTTCAAAGCCTGACCCACAAGGTTACAGGGGTCTGACATGGGCCACTCCGCTGGGGTGGCATCATGCCTTCCTCTACATGCCAGAAGCAACAGGAGACATCCCCAGAATCCTCACACATCCAGTGGGACCCCGCCCTCTCCTCCAGGGGACCCCCCACAGCTTGTGTTCCCCGCATGTCCTAGGCCATGATGCAGAACCCTGTCCATGTAGTGGCATTTGTGGTCAGCTCAGCTCAGGGGAGAAGAGCCCCGAGACCAGTAGTACCATCATTAACCCCTTGTACACCTTATTTTACAAAAATGTAGTTTCCTTATGTAGCTCAAGTTGGAATTGCGCTCACTACGTAGTCCAAGTTGGCCTCAAGCTCACCACAGCCCTCCTGCCTTGGTCTCTCAAGCGCTGGGATTACAGGTGCATACCCACCACGCCTGGCTCAGTGAACCCTGTTTGTAAGATGAGAAAATTGAGAGCTAGAAAAAAATAAGCATCTTTCTGGAGGGCACAGAGCCGCTGAGTGCTGGAGTGACCTCCAGCCCGGGGTCCCTGGCTCTCGGGGGCAGGCGGCTGGCCTCGACCTCCACTCCGGCAGCCTTTCTGACAGCCCGAGCTTGTGCATCACTAATGAGATGAACTCAAATGTCTTAAAATGCAGGTGTAGGATCAGCTAAGTTTCCATGAAACGTTGAGTCACTGCCTGGTGCTCGACCCAGGGAGGGCGCTGAGTGGTGACGCAACTAACGGAGGTAAGGCCTGTTCCACTTTGGCTGTCATGGTCTAGGACTCTCGTCATCTCCTGGCTTACGGGTTGGGAGACCAAGGCCCAGACAGGTCCTGTGGCTGGCTGAGCATAACAGTTAGAGACGGAGCTGAATCTGAGTCCAGCCTTGGTCCCTAAGCACTGTCCAACTCAGCCTTAATTTTTTCTTTCATTTTTGTGTGTGTGTTTTAATATTTTAAAAAATATTTATTTATTTATTTGCTACAGGGTCTCACTATGCAGCTCAGACTCATAGTGATCCTCCTGTCTCAGCCTCCCCTGCACTGGGATTACAGGTGTGCACCTTCACCTGTGGTTTCGGTGGTTGGCATGGCCCACTCAGGGTTCTGGGGCCAGCAGGGAATGTGGTACTGGGGATTGAATTCTGGCCCTTGCACTTGCCAGGCAGGCACTGGGCTATCTCCATGGCCCTGTTCATTTGGTTTTTGAGACAAGATCTCACTATGTAACTCAGGCTGCCTCTGAACGAACGGCGATCCTCCTGCCTCAGCCTCCTGAGTGCTGGGATCATGGGCACGTATCAGCACGCCTGTGACTCCATCCAGCCCTTTCAAACTGGTGATCCAGGCTCGCTAGGAAGTGGGGGAGCAGACTAACTTCTAACAGAGTCACTGGGCTCCACATTTGGGGTGGCGCTCGATGGTATAGTGCTTGCCTGGCATGCATTAGATCCTGAGTTTGAACTCCAAATCCATTTTTTAAAAAAGTTTTTGGGGCCAGTGCTGCCCTGTGCAAATAGGACTCACAGCCCAGCGGGGCCACAACTTGGAATCCCCAGGTCGGCCCTGCTCAAGCACAAAGCCAGCTGGCAAATGCAGATGTGTGTCATGTCCCAAGCGTCCAGGAAAGATGACTGGAGTGCTGGACAGAGGCTGCACAAGACAGGAGGGAGCAGAGGTCCCAAGGGACCGTCCCTGTCCATGGACACCCCTGGAAGGTGCCTTCCCTCAGGACTGTGCCCTGGCCCTACCTCCTGGCTTCCTCCTGCCGCAGCTGGCCAGCAACCTGTCCTCACAGACACCTGTCTCGCTCCTCTTTCCAGACAAATGCCTTGGTGAGCCCAGACCTGCGAGACGTGTCTGCAGCTCAGAGCACACAGCTGCTTGCAGGAGGATGGGCTGGCCTTTCGGGGCTGGGTGCTCTCTTTAGGCAGGTCAGGACAGAGCTGGGCTGGAACGCAGCATCCCAGGCCAGCCGTGCTGCACCGGCCACCTCCAGAATACTGAGCGTCTCCCCTGCAGCAGCTCTAAACTCTGAGATGGACTCAGAGCAAAGAAATAAGGGCTTTCTTTCCTGCAGAGTCTGAGCTAAACTCAAGAAACTTGGCCATTGTGTAGCTCCCAGAAGCTTCTGATCTTCTCTGGGATTTTACACCCACTGCCCTATTTTAAGCAATCTCTGGCCAGCTGTGGTGATGCGCTCCTGTACTCCCAGCATGTGGGAGGCTGAGGCAGGAAGACTGCTGTGAGTTCGAAGCCAGCCTGAGCTACAAAGTGAGTTCAAGGCCAGACTGAAGTGCATAGCAAAATCCTATATCAAAAAGACAAAGACTAGAGGGCTTGCGGGTTAGCTCAGCTGGTCAAGCACCTGCTTGGGCAAACCCCGTCAGGCCCAGGGTATGGCAGTTTGATCCCCAGCGCCACATGCTTTACCAGACCCACCCTGAAGGCAGGCTGTGTCAGCCCCCCAAAAAGACAAAGACAAAAAGAAAAGAGAAGAAAAAAGAAAAGAAAGTCTTTTCTAGATGGGTGTGGTGGCACAGGCCTGTGATACTGGCACTTTGGGAGGCTGAGGCAGGAGAATTGCAAGTTCAAATACTGCCTAGGCAAATTAGTTAGAACCTGTCTCAGGCAATCAATCAATCAATCAAGCAGGGCTGGTGAGATGGCTCAGTGGTCT